TACGACAGTGCTCCATCTGGAAGCCATGGTCGAGCTGCGACAAAAGCAAACCAGTTTCATGTCATCGTTTTGGTCCTGCATGGATGGACGTCTTCGCAGTGGAGGATGCGGTTAAACATCACATAGACAGAATTAAGGATTGTGTTGTAAGATGTGATGATGAAGATACAATGAGACATCACTTGTGGGAGGAAGCCAACGATGCTTTATGGAACGCACCCGGATATCAACGCCAGACTTCCCTAACATCGAGTTTCCCAAAATTATTACCGAAATGGTATCCTGCCGAACGAAGTTGTTCATCAACCTGTGGTTCCGACCTACAGCCATGCACCAATATTCGTAACTGTGTTTGTCGAGTCGCACACGTCAAATGCCGGACCGAGCTCAAAGACGGCAAAGACCAACAAGTGGTTGAGTCATGGGGCTTCAACACACGAATTAATGATGTGTTGGGAATGATATCTATCCCAGGTGCTAACGGCAAGATCAATCACACTAAAACCGAGGGTAGTAGAACTCACAAATGTCACCTCCTCTGTCATGGGATTCTATGGTCACCAACACCTCCGACGCAGGTCCTGAGGTGGAACAAAGCAACTTGATCTCTTGAGCCCGAATAGTTGCTCAGAGACAGTGAAGTGACGGGCAAGACGGAAGCAGATTCGAACGACGACCACCACCGAGTCCGGAATCAAGCTGTGTTCTCGTGGAGTCACAGTCTTGCTTCGGTTGAAAGGACTAAACATTAACCGTAACGAAACGTCGTGAAGAAGACCCAGAGAAAGAGACCAATCGGGAACAGCTTGACTATGTCAGCACTCAAAAACGGCAGGCTGATTGTAACTGACTAGAGACGTGAATGGGGGGCCAAAGAGTTATTTTTTATGGGCAACTATCGAGGGCCATCGACGGGTTCTCGTCGCAAACCCTCATGGTTCGGTACAGTTCACGACTGACCCTGCCGGGTCACTGCTCATCGTCACCGGTTCCTCGTCTACCTGTGTCGTCGCGGTCTTGCGGTGCGTTGAGTCGACTACTAGTATACCCGACACCAAGGCAACGGCACTTTCATCGGGAGGCAACGGCACTTTCATCGGGAGGCAACGGCACTTTCATCGGGAGGCAACGGCACTTTCATCGGGA